AAAACAATTATTGGCAAGGTCACAGGTTTGAACCCACAGCCAGAGACCCAATTAAATTTTACTTGCAGCCCGCGTGACTACTAAAGTATCATTGCATTTCAGCTAGAGGGGGTGTCCAAGTTTGAATCCACCACTAGCTCCTCCTACATGCTTCGTCAAAATAGCGAATGGCCGAGGACTACTGACGACCTGGATAACGATACGCTGCTCCACACTTTCGAGCAGCGTTTGACTGCCGCGCTTGTGCCAATCTCATGTAAGAAAGAGTGGAGCTGAGCGAGAGCGTAGCCTTTCTTCTCTCTAGTTTCTCGCAGTGGCTTGACGTGGGTCCTTGCAGATCATTGTGTTGTATCATTCCACCGCTTGTCATGCTTCTTCTTTGCTCTCACCTGACGCTCGATCAAGGCTCTCACAGGCTGCAGTGAATAACAAAGGAATCACTGGTGCATCAACCCTCAGGTTCTGAGTCTAATCAGTTGCACCAAATCAGGGATGTGCCTCTCGTGTTTTTGGGAGTGAGTATTTAATTTCATGGTCTTGAACATGGCCAGAGGATTTGATCTTGCAAAGAAGAGAGAAACAAATAAATACCCCAACCTCCAGCACTCTTGACATTTCCAGATGCCTCTCAACTCTGCTCTTCAAGAGGGTGGTTGGATCAAATCAAACTTGCTCATTTTCCAGAAACTTTTCTTGTTCCGAGAAACAAATTTTGCTCCAAAAAAATTCCTGGAACCAAGAAGAGAGGCTTGGAAACGTTCGCGCGACCTTGCCCACGTGATTGATACGGAACAATAAATCAGCACGCGTGCCATTCACTCAAAATCAAGAACAAGCGAAACACTTTAACAGGCTATTAATGTTTACTTTGGACGGGAACCTGTTGGCCGGATATCTGGCTAGAATAAAGAAATTTATTGGCAAGGTCACAGGTTCGAATCCACAGCCAGAGAACCACCTAAACACACTTTTTTCAAGTGTAGGCGATGTTGGAGTTTCTCCGCGATATTGGAATTTCCTTGTTTCTTCCTCCCGCAGGCTCGAGAGACAAAAAAGACAGTGGTCGATCTAGCCCAGAAACAAAGGATCCTGGAATGTGTCTCTCGCTTGGAACGATAATAGATTTGGAGGAGGAACTTGCGCCTCGCGTGACTCGCAATGCAGCCTTGTTACGATCGCACAGAGTGCTGCAGACTGCCAAGGAAGAACACGAACGCTGAGCGGCACACTCTGCAAGCTGGAACGCGAGCGATTGAGCGGAGCAGAGACAGGACACGACCCTGGACATCGGTTTACCGATGCCCAAGAGTTTTGGCAACCTTCGAATGGCTGTGAGTCATGATCTCCAGCCCAGAGGACAGGTCCAACTAGCATCGGACTTTTCCCCACTCTTTCATTCTCCAGCGCTGAAATTTGGCTCGACACTGGCCTCGTCTAGCTTCCCAGATCTCCCCAGCAGATCCACCAAGCATCTTAAGTTTTCCATGATCGTGGACTTGCTGTAGTCTTGGGCTATGGACGACAAGTAGTTCTCATCCCGAGATGACTGCAGGCAGAAAACCTCGCTCTGATCACAGTAGCTTGCAAGATGCAAAGGAGGGAGAAGCGTTGCAAAATTTTTTGATTGGGTCTCTGGCTGTGGATTCGAACCTGTGACCTTGCCAATATATTTGTTTATTCTAGCCAGATATCCGGCCATCGGGTTCCCGTCCAAATCGGACACTAATTGCTTCTTAACGATATCATACCTTCACCATAACGGCGCAAGCTCTCGCTCATTTCTAAGCATCCTTTCTAAACCTGTGGGAACGTTTTATAAGGCTGTCATCCTTTCTGCGGTTGTCAAGCTCAAGAAAGAAACCATTATGGAATGAACATTTCACCACTGAATCCCTGGGATAACTTACCTTTTCTTCTTTTGAGAAACAAGGTTTCCCTAACGACTGAATGTCCGAAGATGGCTTGTTTGAGCATTGAAGATTAAATTGATCCAGGCACGCTCTTGATTAGCAGCAAAGTTAAGAGTACAAGGCTGGAGGTACTTGTCTGTTCTTTCAAATCCTGGGGAGCTTGAGATTTCATCAAGGGGCTTTCTTGTCGTGTTCTATCCAAGTTTGATGCTTGTTCCTAGCAGCAACAAGAAAAAATCCATGAAATTTCAAGTCACACCCTGTGTGAAGAAGAGGGGGCAATGCATGGAAAGTACTCGGGGAAAAGGTGACTGTCCACAACAAGAGTATTTAGAGCAAAAAGGGCGAAAGGTGAACTGTGGGAAAGCAATGCTTTCACTGCAACGTATATCCCTTGTGCCCTGCTGATCAATCCAAAAGCCACAACACTGGTGGTAGTGCAGCAGCTCCTCCGTCCCACGTTTAAATTCTACAAGCTCTTGCCAGGTGCAAGGTTCCATGGCCGTTTGCGACAAGAGAAATGCTGGTCACGTCTTTCGAACTGGAGCTACCTGAATTGGATGCTGTGGTTGGCTGCTTGCGAACAGTTAAGCTATCAATCACTGTGCCTCTTTTGTTATTTTATTCACTCCAATGGTGGTGATTTGCCAGGTCCCCCAGGAAGCAGAGACTATCGTCAAGGAGACCATCCATGGTTTTAATGCTTCTCATTTGCCTCCTCCAAAAGAGGGCGTCATTCGCATGGAAGCCAACGGTGGATTCATCCTCCAGAAGATTAGCGACGAGAAATGCTACATAAGGTACGCTATTAGTTTTTTTTTTTTTTTGTTTTCTTCTTAAGATAGTCACTACTTCTTTTACAGAGCAGTAATACACCTGGACCTTAAGCTCGACCTTGTTCCGACATGGGTGATTAACTTCCTTGGGCGTCAAGTTGTGGGACACGGCTTCAGACTATACCTCAAGGTATATTTCTTTCCTTTTGGGGTGAAAAATGTCTAAACTTTGTGTGTTACAACAGACTGTTTCTTCTGTTAAAGAGAGCAAAGTGTTTCAAGAATGCATCAGGCAACAGCCACTCTACAGCCGCATAACGTTACAGATGCTACCAAAATCGAGCCACGAAAATGGATACAAGAGTTGAGGTGCTTTTCATAAGAACTATTCATAAGCTTCCTGCACAAGAGCATTTACATTTATAAACAATTTATAAACAAAGAGGAGCTTGAGGCCCACCGATACTCCTGAAAAGTCCGAACTTATTCATGAGACATATGCAAGGTGGGTTTTATAAGATTTCTGTTGTTTTGCATGTCTAGAAAAATCTGCTGCAGTCAAGCTCAAGAAAGAAACCATTCTCTTCTCGATGGAATGAAACTCTCACTTGCTCCATGCTCTGGCGAGGCCATGGCAAACAAAATGGGCGGACTCTTCGTCTCAATCTGACAAGCAGCTGATGCAAAGGCTACTTTTGAGAAACAAAGCGTAAGTATGCTGCAACAAGAACCAGCAACAGCCGTTTAAGGTATTGTCGTGGAAGATGGCTTGCCTGAGCTCGAGTTTGATTTGATCCAGGCACCCTGGTCCCATCTATTCTTCACTTGGTTGTCAAAGCTTGGAGGTCCATAGGTTTCGATCCTTTCAAATCCTGCTCCAACTTTTGATGCCTTTTCTTGGCAATAATATATTGCTCTGAAACCGTGAAAGCTTACTCACCTGCAAAAAAAACTCTAGGGTTGCACCAGACATCCAATAAACCAGGGAAGCTCTTGAGGAAAATCCTAGATTCAACATAAACAAGTCACACCTCATGGAATTGGTGGTGATCTTGGTGCAACTAGCTAGTTAAGCTTGTCCTCAAACACATGGTTTTGGCATTTGTCTTTCACACTATTGTCCAATCTTGTGAAAGCCTTGACCGATCTTAAACTCAATCAGCTGAGAACAAGCTGTCTCAAAAGTTTCCAAAGAGCAGAAGGCATAATACAAAGGTCACAAACTCGTCTCATCACAAGTTGCATTGTGGTCACTCCACGCCTTGGATGTTGATGAACTACAGGCCTCCATTTATCTTGGAAAATACATCTATGAGGAATGAAGCAATCTGGACAATAGTATAAGCAAAATGAGCACGAGAAGAACCATACATACCGTGGAAAAGCATGAGTTCTACACTCAAAACGACACACACATGGCACGGGCAATGTTCGATCAAATGCCCGAGTGCCACAACATTGTCGCATGGACTGCTAGGCCTACACTCTCACTGGGAATTTCTTCCACGCTTTAATTTGATCCTCTACCAGGAGATGGTCTTGGAAGGAATGGCTCCCGACTAGATCACATTCACTTCCGAAATCAGAAAAGTTCTTTGTCAGGATGTACCATCTAGTAGGACGAAACTGGCCTCAAGAATGCTAGAGCATAAGTTATAACATGTAGATACGTGGGGCTCCTCGCCAAATGATGAACCTATGCAGAGACTTGCCCGATCGTGGAGCACTAGTACACGCAAGGTGGATTGTTAACATTGAGGATGTCATTGTCGTGTGCTAAAGTGGCCTGAAGAACGCCACTGTGATTGGATTCCTTGTGATTCCATCACTCTTTTAGCTAATAGAGCTTCTAATTACAATCTTTTACAAGGAACCCACAGTACAAAGACTAAGCTCGGTTACTAAGCTCAATAATGAAGATTAAGCCATTGTTGGAATGTCCATTTTAGGGAGTTGTGCTCTTATTGGATAGCTCATTGTAACGCTTGAGCTAAATGCTTTTCAATTAAAACGTACAATAATATGCTTTGCCTCCTGTGGCAACATGCAGTCTATGTTAGGAGATCTCAGCAGGCATGGTGGATCAATGTTCCATCTGGAACGGATGAAATTTCTTGCTCAAGGTGCTCGTCTGACCACATTCCACAGCAATATTCTGAAGCTGTACGTGAAGGAGATATTCGATGGGTTGTACAAACAGATCAGGAAGATCCTGGTGCCGTTCATGTGGATGTTGTGCTGCCATTTGAATGGAAATTCGGGGGTTGGTAAGCCTGCATTCGTCTGGTACTTCCGGTCATGATCTACGAGTCCAGAGCGACTGTTTTGATGTTCAAGGGTAACAAAGCTCAGGGTGGTGAATAGAGAAGACTTCCCTCAGGAGATTGTGCTGGACAGCAAAGTAGATACCATCTCATCGATCTGTGAGTGGACTTGGGGCGGATGGTTCGAAATAAAACCCTTGTTGCTGCTTCATCACCAGATGAGTTGAATGTCAGAAAAGCCAAGCGGACAACGTTCACTCGCTATCTGCCTGCGTGGGAAAAGCACAAGTACGATGCTCTTGTGTCTTCTTGGAGGAAACGCGTAACAGACTACGAGAGTGGATCGGAAGAAGCCAAAGAGATAACGCAGAGAGTGAATGCTGCTGAAATGGCGTTTGAATGGTTTGGAGGTATCCCCTGGTTTCTTTGGGATGTAGAAGCAAACGGTCTGACTGTGGAAGCTTTCGAAAGGGATTGAAGCACCTGAGTATGGTTCTGACTCCTGATTTTGTCCTTCAAGCGTTTTGAGCGTTGGTGGTCCAGGAAACTAAGGTGCGCATCTTCATGCTCTCAAACATGCTCCTGGCGGCGCTCAAGTTGAAACTTGCGTGAGAGCTATCCAGCAGACAATGGTCTTGCGCAGGATCTCGTGAACATGCGAGGATCCACGGTACTGGATTCTTCTCCGGGATTTGACCGAAGGTGTTCTTCGTGAGGGCAACGACGCCTTGGATGGTCCTAATGATGGAAGTCGTTGTAATTCTTAGGATACTACTTTATCCATCACGAATAGCATCAATACAGTAATCACTTCGAAGCTTTTAAAATAGGATCTACATATTTTGTCTTGGTAATGGGAGATTTCACTTCCTGAACATAGTCGCTTCTATATATCAGGTGAAGCAAGATCTAACGTCCACATCTTGATTGATTTCATTTGCTGTTAAATCCATCCATTTTTTGATTTTTTTTTGTGTGTGGCTATCCGGCACCAGGAATCGTCTAAAATCCATGGTGAGGCTCTTTGGGTATCGAGGTTTCTTCATTTGAATCCTTGGAATCTTTCGGTTTTCGGTTTTCGACATCCAAGCCGGCTCCCTTTCGTCCTTGGGCGGCTGGATGCCTTGGATGATCGCCGCATTTTGCCGCGTCTTGGCGTCCGGAAGGGATGTGTCAGGGAGCGAAGCAATTGCGTCAGAATAGATGCAGCTGAGCTCCTGGACAAGCTCGTCCCAAGTCCGGCACGACAGGCCCGTTGTGTAGTTGGGAGAGAGGGGATGGAAAACGTGGCCTTTGTCTGGGTGCAACCGGATGGAGAGCTCCGAGGGAAAGCCACCCTTCAAACATCGAGAGATGGCAGCTTTCCGCTGCACAGAGGAAGACGAATACCCGAGTCTCTCTCACCTCGCGAAACCGTAGCCGCACTAAAATCTAACGGTTTGGATGGTATATTCTAAGATATCCTTTAATCCAACGGCTGTGATGTATCGCTCTTAACCTTTTATTTGTTTGTAGTTACCACTAATATAAACTGCGTTTAAAAGTTCAGTTAATTTAATAATAAAATAATAAAATAGTGTTCATGTTAGGGGGCGACCCTAACACCGTACTATTCTTAATTGAAAGTCGAGGCGGATGGGAATCGAACCCAGCAACCCTTCACAATAGAACATTACAGCGTGCATGCTATAACCACAAAGCCATGAACACTGGGAGATAACAAAATATTATTTCAGCACCTCTTATTTGAAAAACAAGATTTGGAATCCATCTGATTGTCCACGTGGACGACATCCAGGGGCTGCGAGGCCAGAGGATCCACGCGCGGATCCTGGAGAGCAGCTACTGGCCGAATCAATACCGTCTTCATCCGGCATGAAATCAAAGATTTCTTCCTCTGCTATTCACTGCTGGAAGGGGAACCCATGGAACGTCCTGTCATTCTGGGCAGTAGATTCGTCCAGGACACGAGATCCTTGGCCGGCGTTTTTGCCCAAGCTCGATTTCGCTGCCACAATTTGCCCCTGCTGCGCGAGAGCCATTATCATCGAGTTCCATGGCGCTCTGAGACGCAATCAAACATAGACTCACACTCTCGGATGCGGGATGCCGCCACATACGCGGTGACCATCGCGTTCCAGGAGACGATAATCGAACAAGATTGACGCCGCATCGATCGAATGCCCTGTTCTTGCTGCTCGCATTTGCCAGCGAAAGGGAATATCGCGCGATCCAAGAGCCTGAACCCGGCGCGGCGGCGTGGATCATTCGGGGGGATCGGCACGAGAGAAGATTTAGCTCCAGCAACGCTGCCGAGAGCGACTTTGCGGAGAAGAGAAATCCCTCGTTCATACAAAAAAAATTGATTGGGTCTCTGGCTGTGGGTTCGAACCTGTGACCTTGCCAATATATTTTTTTATTCTAGCCAGATATCCGGCCATCAGGTTCCCGTCCAAAGTCTACACTAATTGCTTCTTAACGTATACCATCATGTAAACAGCGGCGCAAGAGATTTTCGTTTTGTGGGCGCATGGCGCGCAGCGCGTTGCTGCTGTCAAGCTCAAGAAAGAAACCATTCTCTTCTCGATGGAATGAAACTCTCACTTTCTCCATGCTCTGGCGAGGCCATGGCAAACAAAACGGGTTGGATGGACTCTGCAGCTCAATCTGAGCAAGCAGCTGATGCAGAAGCTATTTTTGAGAAACAAAGTATAAGTATGCTGCAACAAGAACCAGCAACATCCGTTTAAGATATTGTTCTGGAAGATGGCTTGTCTGAGCTCGAGTTTGATTTGATCCAGGCACCATGGTCCCGAGAATCTATTCTTCACTTGGTTGTCCAAGCTGGAGGTCCATAGGTTTGGATCCTTTCAAATCCTCGGGGCGTGAGACTCTGGAGCTCCAAGTTTTGATGC